GGACATATGGGCGTTCTTCTGCTCGAAGGACTTCCACGTCGACCTCAAGCTTCGTCGGGGAAGACTTGAGGTCTCTCCCATCTGAGGATGGAGTCGGATCATTCATCCACATAAAGAACATTTAGACGTGGAGGAGACGGAGCAAACCCTGCAGGAAATGTGAACCATCTTAATCCAGCTCCACAGGATCGATTGCAATTTTGTTCCTGAAGTCGATGCGTTTCTCACGTCACTGTTTTTCTTTTCTTCAGTGTTTATTGGACTTTCGTGCACACAGAGAAGTTGAAATCGAATCTCACTTCCTGACAGAGACACACAAGACACACTTTGATGTGTCTCTTTTCAGGAGAACCTTGAAGCAAATATTGATGTAGATTTTAAAAAGAGATGCTCGTAATCTGTTCACAGCGTTTCCATCCACCGGCTGAAACGGCTGAGTTGATAATTCAGAAATAAGTTTATTTGTCTATGAATATAATTATTTTCCTAACCATCTGCTATCGTTGAAGAGGACTTGACCTCCCCAACAGACAGAAGAAGAAGAGCTGAAAGCTTCGTTCGCTCTTTAGATTCAGTCGTTAATTATTTCACGTTCAAGTTGTTCCAAGAACAAAGAGACTCGGAGCCGCTAGAAAGCAACAGCGAGGCCTTTTCGTCTCCGCGATGATCAAAAGTTTTTAGCCATAAACTGAGAGCGTTTCCTCCAAGAGGTCCGCCTGCCACCTTCAGAGGAGACGAGCTCAGCCAGTGAGGACTTGAAGAGCTTCCTGCTGGGACGCTTCCCTCACAGCAGCAGCGCGACGGTGCATCAACAGTGCACGTCGTCTCGTGCTGGAGCAGATGTTTGAACGGAACGCACAGCGTGAACAAAACCCCCCGCGGTGCCTGTCAGTCTAGTGTGGAATCTGCTTTGAATTAAGCCGACAAGGGAGAGCTCTCTGATGCTCTAACATGTAAATATATATTTATTTTCCTTTTTGAGTTCCGTTCAATTGTGAATTGCGCGTGCTGATCCGGAGTCCCTTTTCCAAACAAAAGACAAACATTGATTTTGTTTTTTTTAGCATCGTCCCAATCCTCATGCTTTTTACTGTGAATCCAATAACCTTGATACTACTTTTATTTAGTGTTGGACAGAACGCCATGAGGGAGAACAATGGAAGACAAAAGGATGATGTCACTGCAGCACAACCGCCTCTGGACGGCACAACTGCAGAGGTGGAGATGTAAAAAAGGAGGAAAACAGAAAGTCAAGCTCTCGCTCAACTTCAGTCCGTGATGAAATCCTCCTCCCGGATTTGCAAAACAAGGTAAAAAGCGAGCGTTGAACGCCGAGCGCTCATGTGGACCAATCGCCGATGAGCTTCAGTTTGTGTCAAAGAAGAGGAGCATGTCCGCCTCTAATTAGAGGAATAATCCCTGATCTGAATCGAATGAGCCGGGAATGTAATTTGTGTGCTCTTCACAGTTCACCAGGTCGCTGATACAAACGAGGAGGGTTGATACGCTCCCATCTGATTGTCCTTCTGGCAGCCTCCGTGATTACTGAAGCGCTAACAGGCTCTTTGTTTACTGTATTATCAGGCAGAGTTTATTTATGGGAGCGTTTGTGTTGGTGGATTTTAACTGTTACATTGTTTGGTAGGAAATCATTTCTGGAGATTAAGACAATGATAATTATCATTATTGGTAGTTTTCTTATTGGTACTTTCAGTAGCGTCAGAATATTAATGTTTAATATTATAAATTAATACATAATTGAATCTTCTGATCAACATTAAGACACCGCTAATGCAACATTTGTATTAATCCATAATTCATAATATTCTGTAGACATGAACTGTTCTGCATGCATGAGTCCTCTTGCTTTTGATACCATTTACTTGTGCTGCCAACTTGACATGGGTTTAGTGAACGCAACTATTCCATGAAGGTTTGAAAGAAGGAGCATGGGAGCTAAAAGGAAAGAAATAAAACCCTGTTTCTTCTGCCTCTGACTAACAGGGTTATTGTGGTGTTAATTATGTTAAAGTGATTCTGGGACTTTTATCTTTCCAACCGCAACGCACCATAAAGAGTGTCAATAACGTCTGAAACGTGTTTCAATTAATGTCATATTTTCTTTGTTGTTTCAATTTCTTATACAACAAATAATCAATAAAACAACAAACTTAGCAATGTCCTTCAGGCTTTTAAAGCATCATGTTTCAAACATGAATAATAACAATAATAAAAGGCCAGTAATGCAGAGAATGCGTTCTAGTTTGAGCCTCTGACCTTGGTTCCGTCAACAAGTGGAATGGAGCATTCCTCCTCCTGCTGCGCAGCGTGACTTTGTCTCATAATTACTTTTGCCAACAGAGGTGAGAGCGGGGATTTGAATCATTATCACTTCGTCTGGTGTGATCATAAATCATCGCTCGGTATCGTCCATAAAGCTTAACCTTCACTCTGGAGAAGGAAATTATCCCGTTCAACATTTGTCCCAACATATTAATTATGGGACAAATAACTAAATAAGATTTTCTTTTTTTTTCAAAATATCTATATTTAATTTTGGGAGCAGATTTGTAGCTTTTTTCCCGCCTGTTAAGCAGCTTGGCTTTACAACGGTCTCTGTTGAAGGATAAAGTTGCTGTTTTGTATATTTTTCTATAAATCTGCACAAAGCCTCACAGATAGTTAAAGTCTCTCTTCTGTGTATCCTCACTGGCTTTAAACCGTCAAATTTATTTTCGATCTTAAAAAATAGAATAAATGTTGTTTTACAGGAAACTGGAAGCACACTTTAAAATGTACAGCTCCACCCACAGCTTCCCCCTGATTCTAATGACTATTCTTGGTTACGTCTGTGTCACTGCCAGACAATTCTAAAACCACCAGTAAGCACAGTTAGTGATCTTTGTTCTTATGATGGAAAGACATGTCCGGTTTCACGGGGAGCTTTTCCGTCTTTTTAAGAGTGTGAGCTTAGCAGGCGTTGCTTTTGATGAGCTCCAGTCAACAGCTTTTATGCAGCAGAGGGATTCTAGTGCAAAGCTCTTACAAGGTTTGGGTCCTCTGAATGGAAGCTGAAAGAATTTCCCCCGTCTCTTCTCTACTCATCTTTTCTGGCCACATGAGGCAAACAATAAACAACTGGGGAATCTGTTTTTCAAATACCCAAACGACATAACCCATGGTGACAAAATGACATCATACCAATGTGATTACGCTTAATAAACTCACCCTGGCCCAGCTTTGGTCTTATCTTCCACTTTGACACAAATTTGTTAAAATATCCTTGAGCAAAAATCCTAATGACAATTCTGCAGACTTTGAGGAGGCTTATTGAAGCCGAGATGCACTTCAGAGGAGAAAAGAAAGATTCTGATGAAAGAAGAAGAAGCTGTGTCTCATGTGGACTCAAACCTCCTCAGAGAATACGACAAAAAAACGAGTGAAACGCAAGGATGGACGTGCTTATTGAAATGCGACAAAAAGCTTTGAAACAAAAACATTCATCCCGCTGCCGGTGGCGTTTGATGAAAGCGTTGACGAGGGGCCGTGCGCCTGCAGCATAATGAGAGTTCCCGTCGGGGATGGGCCGGTCGGGGGAATCTCGCTCTGCACATCCAGCCACAAAGCACAAGCAGATGTTTTGGCACCGAGGCGAGGAATGGAAACGGATTATGTGCTCCGCCTGCCAAACACGGCCTCTTGATGAGAGGCCAGGTGATATCCGACTATCTCCGGTAATACCAGTGCCCCCCCCCCCCCACACTCCCCTCACCGGGTTATCAGTCTGAGGGATAATTGAGCCTTGAGGGACTGTTGTAGGTTTCCTCTCGTAAGTTGTCAAAAGTTAGATGGAGGCAGATCAAACGCCTTCGAAGGAGAAAATAAAAAGCATCTACGCAAGACATCAGACGTGGTAGATGTTTTTCCTCTGACTTTCATCTTGCAAGTCCAGAAAAGAGTTTAAAATCATGGACAAATGTACAACCGGAGAGGAACCATACCTTTAAGGAATTGATTTTGGGCGAATCATTACTCAACCTCTCATATTTGCCGCATTTCGCTAATTCCTTTTTTTTAGTCAATCTCTCAATAAGACTACATACATATCTTACTATCATAGAATTATTATTAATTGTTATACATTCAGAATCATTTCAGATAACCTGTAATGGAAATGGCGATTATGTGATTACGTCTGTAATTAGTAGGGAAAGTTTCATATCCATAAGTTACATCTTTGATGCCTGAGTCACCAAACGCCTTCACACATTTTGAAAATAACAACACTTACGCCAGAATGCGTAATCAGACTACTTTACAATTAGACACCGGGTCGTTCGGATCAGTGTTGACCAGCGGAGCTCCTCAGGGCTCTGTGCTCGGCCCACTCCTGCTGGATTCCAGACGTACACCCACCGACCTGACGTTCACAGACACCATTTCAAACATCTACGAGACTTTGTGTAGGAAGGAAATCGACTCCTTTGCAGAGAACAACGTCAGTCAAAACCAGGAGGTGGTTGATTCCAATCCACGAAAACAGGAGGATCCCAAAGGACGTGAAAAGACTGTCCCCGGGTGATACAGAAGTATCGGCTGCCATTCAAACTTCAGAGCAGCTTCTTTCCTCGGGCTGAGGAAAGAAGCTTTGACTCTTACATAACAACAAAGTGACACAAGAAAGTGACACAGAATCAAATCAAAATGTATTCCAAACTACACCTTGATACGATTCAGTTGAGAATCACATCAACAGGTGAAATTAGATAGAAAGTAGATGGCTTTCCCTCTGATACATGGATCACCCTTTCAAATTGAATTTTTGATTGAATAACACATTTGGATGAAATGATTGATTGATTGATCGATTGATTGACTGATAACTTGCGCTCCTCTCGTTTCAGTGACAAGAGTCAAATTTGATCACGACCTGTTTGACGACGACATGAGAAACAAAGAGCAGCCGTGGAACAGAGGCCGTGACACCCTGAACCTCTCACCTGTTGGCGGATGCGTTCGGGTCGCCGTCGGGGTTTCTTGAGTCCGCTCGGTGGACGGACATTGAGTCTTAATCAATGAATGAGACGGCCTGAAAAGAAAAGAACGGGAAACAGAAAAGAAAAACAGAAAGCGGTGAGGCGTTTTGTTGTGGTACTCAAAGGACTGCGATGCCTTTTCAACCACTAATGAACCATCCGGCCTTTTTTCAGAGAGACGACCATGAGGTCAGTTGGACTTACGAACAGAAGTGATCCAAAAACACAACATCTTATCCTCTCCAAAACACTGTGGTCATTTTTGCAAAGTCGAAGCTACTTTCCGTCATCAAGATAAACACGCTAATTTTTGCTTCTGCAGTATTTCTTCACCATAAACCAGGCGAATGCACACGTCTTCACCTGTGAACTGTTTACCATTTATATCATTTGTAGTTTTTATATTGATATGAATTGTATTTGTTGCCTCTTTTTTATCTAGATAATGCTAACCTGCATTTACCAATCGTAAAGCATTTGAATGAATCATATACTGTTCAATACGTGGTGAGAAAGACCAAAGTTCATTTTTAAAATTCAATAGGAGGATACGATCTTCCTTTAACGAATATGTCGCTTCGTGCTACAAAAGGGTTTGATTGCAGCAGCAAGAGAGAAACTGCTTCTTTTCCAGGCTGCAGCCTTGATTAAAAAAATATAGATTCTGATGCGAGCAGATGGCCGTGTAGACTTTGCTTGCTTGTTTAAAAGTAGGCAGTCCTCCCACCTTCCGAATATCTCACACTTCCTCTTTATGAGGGAAAAGCTGCATTCTGCAGTGTTCCAAATGCCAAACTAAAAACCACCTTTCGACCTATTTTCAGACTTGTTTCTTTGTTAGTTATGAGAAACATCAATTGTTTGTTTTTGTCAGATGGAAGGTGCAGTTGTTGATACTGAAATGACATGATTTGTCTGGAGGTTCGCTGACCGAATTGAACCGTTTCACTGAATGTGAAAAGATCAATACATGCAGTTCTGGTGACTCCAAAGGTGGAAGTTCAGATCCTCAGGAACACTTCTGTTGATTGTGTTTTAAATATTAAGGCAAGTAAACACGTCCCACGTCGTGCTCCAAGTTCTCATTTAAATTACAATTAGAGGCCTCCTCGATACACTTCCATATTATTACATGCCCCCCCCGCACGTTTCTTACGCTTCGTAATTCGCACAGACGGCTGCTTGAATCACAGACCTTCAGACTCATGAAAACCAGCGTGGATTCCCAGTGAGTCTCATCCCAGTGACGTCATCGTCTTGAAGCCCAGAAGACGAGGAGGCCGTCGACCCCACGGAATGTTTTATTCTATTATTTATTATTTATTGTCTTTGACAGAACGTGTCTGTCCACTCCGAACATTCCCTTAAGTGCTCCGAGTGTCGCCTATATCGTCGTCTGGGTGTTCGTATTAGAAAGTGTTAATGCCACAAAAGCAGTGTCTTTTTGCAGGTATATTTAGTTCCTGTTCATTAAAAACACAGGGGGGGGTTGGTGTAGAAATACAAAACAAATCATAAAAGTCACTTCTTCCAGAAACGTGAGCGAGTAACTTTGTGTGCCTTTTTCTTGTTGTTTCTCCAGTTGAATTAGTGCTTGTTCGATAGTTCACCCATTGACCGAGCGACGCTGATTTGCAAGACGACCGGCTGTTAAATCTGTTTACCGGCTGTACTGACCCCCCCCCACTCATTGTTTCTGCTTGTTTATTGATCCTTCAGTGTGAGATATTTCCCCTAGCTGCAGTACTGAAACTTTAATATGATCTCCCGATTGTAAAGGGAAGTGATTGAGGTTTTTTTGTGTCCAAGGCAGCTCGAGAAAACGAGAAAAACACCAGTAAACAAAATCTGAAAAAACTTGTCACGGGTCAATCCAGGTCACAGGCGGCCTCCTTTATTGATTCCCGGCATCAAGTCCATACCAATAAAAGCAGAGGGGACGCAGGTAAAGAGAAGCAGACAAATTAATGACGAGGGCTTCCAACAAGGATGAGGAGAAAGAGAGATTCAATCCAGTGTCCAGGACAGTTTTTATGACACAAATATCCTCTTGACTCGTCCTTTACACACACACAGAGAGAGAGAGCTGGAGGTGAACCGCGGCAATAAATCCAGCCCACAATAAATGTAATTTCTAATTTTAAAGGGTCCATTAATTCTTGTCCAGCACCCCTGCCAGGAGTTCTTTTGATGGGGGTCAGGAGGAGGGCCAGCATTAATAACAGCCACCTTATTACAACCTGATGTGGCTGGCAACGACGTCCCGCCCGCACGCTGTCCTCTTGAAAATAACATATGATGCCATTAGGTTCCATTATGGGTCAAACCCCGCACAAACACACCCGGGCTGACGGGCAGGGTGGTAAATCACTCTAATCCAGAGACGAGGGCAGGTTATCCCCACAGGGGGAGGGGGGGAGGGGGGGTTGTGTCACGAGCTGAGCTGCAGTTTTACAGCTTGAAACACGATAGAAGTCGAGATAGAGCCCGGCTGTCACTCAAGAAGGGGGGGGGGGGGGCTGAGTCTCTGATCACCTGCCTGCAACCCACCAGCCAAAAACTAACACAACTCAACTCAGTGCAGGAGAGGGAGGGAGGGGTGGCTGGCGGGGGGGGCAACAGCTCTTCGTGCCAATTTTTTTTTTTTTTCGGGGGGAAAGTTTTTTTACACCCCGCGCGGTGTTGAAAAAAAAAAAAAAAAAAAAAAAAAAAAAAAAGCAGAAGGTTTTTTTTTGGAAAGTATATAAAAAAAATATTATATAGTTGGTGGGTACCCCCCCTGCCCCCCCGCCCCCCCCATGCTGCACACCAATTGGGAGTGTTGAATTGAATTGGGAGAGGGGGGGGGGGGGGGGGGGCCAAATTGAAGAAGTTGTTTTCCCCCCCTGGGCGGGCAAAGGGAGGAAAAACAAAAGGAAATTTAAAATTGTAAATATCAAACGAGGGGGAGAAAAATGAACACCTCCCCCGCCCCCGGGGGAAACGGGGCTCCCCCCCGAGGCCCCCCCACAGAAAAGGTTTTACTCCTACTAAACCTTGGAAGCCGACCTGATGTCGGAGAAAACGAACACACAAAAATCTCTTCTTTTCTGTTTTGCTCTCAGAAAGGTTGGAAAATGATCAACGTGCACAGCATCCCTCTCACCACAGCCCTCAGAGTATGTCTCAAGTTGGATCTGACACCAAACAAGCCTCTCCCCTCGCGAGAGTGCGCGCACTACTCTGGATGTGGGTGCGTTTTTCAGCGTGTGAGTTTGATCACACATCAGACCTTCTCAACACGCTCACTGAATAGCTCTCATGTGCTAGATCCAGTTTTGTGCTGCTACCATTTCAACCATCTCTAACTTTTCCCAAATTCTCCTGCATCAGCCACTGTGCGTGACTCAGTTCGGCTCGAGCCCGAAGGAAATTACCACTTGGGTGGCATTTAGTGCACGGGCGGCTGCTGCCATTAGAGTTTTGAGTTTGCGAGCAAACAATTGTGATGTACAGATCTGGCCTTACATAATCTCAAAAAGCCCACAGTCTTGTAATGTAATGTTCTCCGCATCAAACCCTCTATTTGG